CCAACGCTGACTGAGATGAAAAATCGACGTTCCGTTCACTACGATGTCCTGGGCGTTTGATTGCGGGTCGATGCATTCACAATTCAAGAATATGTTGTGTCCCGTGCAAAATCGTCTGCAACTCTGTAATTCATTTTTATAAAAACTTCGAGAAGAAATACGAGAGGCCCTTTTGCATACGGTTGCATTCAGTTCCCAGAGATAACTGCCTATTTTGGAAGTTACAGTCACAAATCGGCAAAAACTGTATGTATAATAAGAGATCATGCATGTAACAATTTAACTTTGGATACAAATTATAAATATCATGCTGAACCTTACTCGAAATAGTTTTATATTCTGAAAGCTCTCAAAGAACGTCATATTTTTTCAGCACTTTTTAAAATACTGTACTCTATTTTTTATAAGTCTGTTCTGTGTATGTATTCATAAATCGTTATTCACTCATTTTTCCAAATACAGTATTGTACTTGCAAATCCCTGACGAACAGATCTTCATCATAGATTTCTGGAGTTATATCGAGTTAAAATCATTTCTCGTGAGTTTTCATTTCAATAGTCAAGTTGATGTGAGCTGACTCAGCTGAGTAACTGATTAATTTACGTGGTACAATTTACATGAATAAAAATGTGATTCAAAACTTACCCGATAGTCGTATCTAAAATGTCCATATGTGTATAGCGTACCATCCCAGCCGTTTTGACATCCCGAAGGATACGGATCCGGCAGACGCTTCAGCAATACCTTTTCAAGTGAAAAGAGTAAAAATAACCGCAATAGTCATAAAATATTTTTAACATGGCTTCGATTCAAAAATATCACCGATTTCAAACGGACGTGAGTTGATTGACCCGGAACAACGTCGATCCCTTCTTCCTCAACATTTGGCGGGGATCCAACGGGAAATATTCCCACTTTCAAACCCGCAGTTGTAACTTGGCTGGGTACTCGAACATATTCATCTTCATCAATCTTCAGTCTGATTTTAAGTCCTGATAAATGAAGAGTGGTAATCATAACATCAAACAAAGAGTTTGATTTTTAGATTTTTAGGGAAATCTGCGTGTGTCATGTAAATTGCGAGGAATATCATTTTTTTAAAAACGCTTCATACAGATAGAGATTCTTTTTTTCGAGCTGAAAAATGTACAAAGCGTGGAACAAAACCAATTATTCCTTTTTACAAGTTTTATCATATGCGTCTGCATGCCACAATCCCGGAACTTTGAAATAAGAGGTAAAATAATTTCCTGCAATAGTTTTCCTACGTTTTTTAAAAGCATTTTTCCATAATCTTGAAATTAATGTGGCATGCCATTCCTCAAGCAATGAATTTTACCATCACCACAAAACATAAAATCTCATCACACCGCGTATAGAGTTAGGGTATCTACTTGCAAATTGTTTTCTTCAATTTAAAATCTTCCATGTGTTTGTGAAATCCTTACAATTGAAAATAAAAATTGCCAGAGCCCAGAACTGACAAAGGGTCAAGTTTAAATTGAAATAATGTTATCTGACAAAATACTCAACACTTTGTTTTGAGTTTCTTCTACATTTTTGTTCTTTCTCTAAATAACAAGATCATGGGAACAAAACTTTCCCATGCCAGCAATCTCCCCTTGTTTTGGTTCAATGGCTTTTCATGCTACCCTACATTAATGTACACAACCCACTTCATTGCAACAGCCCACATTACTGTTGACAGTTACAAACAGTAATTGCTGTTCCTAGAATTTGGTTTCTCTATTCTTGAATATATATCCTGCACTAGTTTCTGAGATATGCATTCTGGCCCCAAGACCTGGATATGCATCCCTGATACTGGAATCATATCATGAACCCAATATCCAAAAACTACATACACCTATATTTTTCTTGATGCTCATCAGAAGAATCTTACCTGAGAATTGGACCTGACTCTTGTGATTATTCTCGAGAAGACTTGAAATAATTTAGCAAGACTTCTTTAATCTTCAATATTGTCTTGACTCTGTTTGTGTGTGTATTTGGAATGCAAGTATGATTCAGAAGTACCAAAGAAATATATATTATATTCTATATTGTGTATTTATCAATTGTTTGATTTATTTTGACGCAACCAACAAATATATTTGCACAAGAGAGTTAAGATAACAATAATTAGCTCAGCCATGTATTTTAGGTGATTTGGGCCTCAGAGCAGGAGCAACAGGAGCTGATGCAACAGGAAACATGGGAAATTCCATCAGGCAAACTTTTAGGAACTATTTGAGCGCAAGCAGGGTACCATCGAAATAAAAAAAAAAGCCCTACCTCCATCGATTCCGTCAGATGTCGCAATGCTGGGTTTGTAAGTGGTATCGTTGGCCGCAGGGTAAGAGTTGTACGTCACGCAATGCCCATAATTTACCGATACATGCGTACCTATCCTGTCAGCAAAAAATATTTAATTTGAATCACGTTTTCGAATATGAATAAAAGTCTATGCACAAACTCACTGACTCGGATCGCAAGGTTTTCCACTAAATTCGCAAGTCTGCAGCATTTCATCAGCACTTCGCTGCAAATAAGGCTCAAGCTCTTGGAACGATTCTAATGCTAGACTCCAAAATATATTTGATTGCAGTTTGTCGTTCGGCATTCGTTTCAGATCGCTTAGATGCTGAGCAAAGTCGTAGCTAGCTTCAATCATAATTGCCTCTTCTTCAGAAGCCTAAATATACAGTATTTGGAAGGTTTAGTTACACCCATTATTCGAATGAATAGAACGAGTTGACGACTGTTAAAAACTGCTGACTCTAAATTTAATATTAAATATATTATTCCTGTGAGAGGGATGCCTTTGTCCTTAGTTGAAAAAAATGCAGAAAAGCTTCGGAGGAAAATAATACTGTTTGGCTTGAGTGGTATAGTCAATGTCATAGTGGTATAGGTATAGTGGTATAGCCAACAAAATACCTTTAAATTATGCATCAGTAAATCGAGACAAATGAAAGAAGTGGATCTCTATCGAAGTGGTCACGTATATTCCACCATTTTCGTGATTGAAAATCATTCGAATAAAGTATCATTAAGATGAATAAAAAAAGCCGTCATTTCATTATAAGAGGTTTCTCCTCATTTCCATAGCAATACCCTTACCCGGGAAACTTCCCGACGACAATATCAAGTCACAAATCAATGGAATTAAATCCCTCACATTCTCAGTTATTGACTGAGTTTTGGATGGCTGACAAATATAATTAACCAGGAGTTGTTTGCTATGGCAATTTCGAATCCCAAAGCATACTCTGGGTTCGCTGATATAATACCATTGGGTGCGTACTTCATTATTCTGAAGCTGTGCTGATGGAAAATGGAATTGCATCGTAAGCATCTTGATTAGTTCTTGGACTGCATGTTCTGCTACTTTTGGGTCACCGTACATCCGTA